ACACGGGGATATATGTGGACCAATAGACCCACCGTGTGGGCCATTTAAATATTTTATGGTGCTTATTAATGCATCTACCAGATGGTCACATGTCTGTTTATTATCTACTCGCAATATGACATTCGCGAGATTGCTTGCCCAAATTATTAAATTACGGGCACAATTCCCCGATAATCCAATTAAGACTATACGTCTGGATAATGCTGGTGAATATACATCGAATGCATTTGATGGTTACTGCATGTCGATTGGAATTAATGTAGAGCACCCAGTTGCTCATGTTCATACACAAAATGGCCTGGCAGAATCGCTTATTAAAAGATTGCAATTGATTTCTAGACCATTACTGATGAGGTCTATGTTGCCAGTTTCAGCTTGGGGGCATGCAATCTTACATGCATGAACACTTATAAGAATGAGACCGACAAGCTATCATAGCTATTCTCCAATGCAGTTAGTATTTGGTCACGAACCAAATATATCTCATCTATGTATTTTTGGGTGTGCTGTTTATGTTCCTATTCCACCCCCTAAACGTACAAAAATGGGTCCTCAACGTAGATTGGACATTTATTTCGGATATGAATCGCCATCAATTGTAAAATATCTTGAGCCTATGACGAGTGATTTATTCACTGCAAGATTTGCATATTGTCATTTTGACGAATCATATTTTCCGACATTAGGGGGAGACAAAAACGAACCGAAAAGGGATATTAATTGGAAAATCCCTTTGAATTTTTGTGATCCTCGTACAAAGCAATATGAACTAGAAGTTCAGCGCATTATACATTTGCAAAATATTTCAAATCAGTTACCGGATGCATTCAATGACTCGAGCAAAGTCACTCGATCATATATCCAAGCTGCTAATGCTCCGGCTAAAATAATTGTCCCTGATGGACAAATTGCAAGTGCTAATGAATCAGCGACACGCTTAAAGCGTAGTAGACCACTTGGTTCCAAAGATAAACATCCTCGAAAGAAAAGAGGAATTAATGATGATAATTATGAAAATATCAGGAATGACATTGATAAACTTCAATCTAACGAGGAAGTCAACCCTGAAATAATTGCTCCAGAAGAGCACGATCTTGAAGAACATGATAAGATTATTGAAAACTCAATTAACTATGTTACTTCAAGAAAATGTTGGAACCGTAAAGAGGCAATTATTGATAATGTCTTCGCATACAGTTTAGCACTTGATATAATGGAAGATAATGAGGATCCAGAGTCAAAATCGGTTCATGAATGTCGGCAAAGAAATGACTGGCCAAAATGGGAGCATGCGATTCAATCAGAGCTTGATTAATTAAACAAAAGAGAGGTCTTCGAACCAATTGTTCAAACACCAGATGGTATAAAACCAGTTGGGTACAAATGGGTGTTTGTACGAAAAAGAAATGAGCATAATGAAATTGTGAGATATAAAGCCCGTCTTGTAGCTCAGGGATTCTCACAAAGACCTGGAGTAGATTTTGATGAAACATACTCTCCAGTTGTCGATGGAATAACATTTAGATACCTTGTGAGCCTAGCAGTGCGAAAAAAGCTCGACATTTGTCTTCTAGACGTAGTTACTGCATATCTTTATGGCTCATTGGATACTGATATTTATATGAAAGTTTCTGAGGGATTCAATATGCCCGAAGCATACAAATTAAACCCAATGGAATCATATTCCATCAAATTGAAAAAGTCATTGTATGGACTTAAACAATCAGGGTGAATGTGGTATAACCGTCTCAGTGACTGCTTAATAAAAGAAGGTTATACTAATGATCCAATATGCCCATGCGTCTTTATCAAGAAAAATGGATCAATTGCGATATATGTTGATGATCTCAATTTAATTGAAACTCCAGAAGAAATCCAAATTGCAGTTGAATATTTAAAAAAAGAATTTGAGATCAAAGATTTTGGAAAGACAAAATATTGTCTGGGTTTACAAGTGGATCATGCGAACAATGGAATATTTATCCATCAATCCACATATACCCATAAGGTATTAAAGCAATTTTATATGGATAAATCTCACTCTCTGAGTACACCAATGGTGGTTAGATCACTTGATCCCAGTAAAGATCCATTTAGGCCAAGAGAAGAAAATGAAGAAATACTTGGCCCCGAGGTACCATATCTCAGCGCTAGTGGCGCATTAATGTACCTTGCAAATTGTACCAGGCCAGATATATCTTTTTCAGTAAATCTACTGGCCAGATTTAGCGCATCCCCCACAAAGCGCTATTGAAATGGTATCAAGCACATTTTTCGTTATCTTCAGGGAACTCATGACCTCTGTTTATTTAATTCAAGTGAATCTCGAAATGAATTAACTGGTTATGCTGATGTTGGTTATTTGTCTGATCCGCACAAAGCAAAATCTCAAACTGGCTATTTATTTACATGTGGTGGAACTGCGATCTCTTGGAGATCTGCTAAACAGACGATAATAGCTACTTCTTCAAACCATGCTGAGGTTTTAGCGATTCACGAAGCTAGTCGTGAATGCGTTTGGTTGAGGTCCATGACTCACCATATTCAGAAAAATTGTGGCTTGATTACCGATGATAAATTACCTCCTACAATATTATTTGAAGATAATGCAGCTTGTATAGCTCAATTAAAATGAGAGTATATTAAAGGCGATCAGACAAAGCACATATCTCCGAAGTTCTTTTTCACTCATGATCTTCAAAAAAGTGGTTAAATTAATGTGCAACAAATTCGATCGTCTGAAAATTTTGCAGATTTATTTACGAAGGCGCTACTTACTGCAACATTCAACAAACTGGTGCAAGAAATTGGAATGCGTAGGATGAAAGATATCAAATAAAGTCCAAAACAAGGGGAGCGCATTAATACAAGAATGATGTACTCTTTTTCCTTCACTATGATTTTTTCCCACAGAGTTTTTTCATAATAAAGTTTTAACGAGGCACATTATTTGTATAAAAGCATCCAATGGGGAGTGTTATGTAATATGTACGTAGTACAGACGAAGTGACTGCGTGACACTTTTGTATGCTTTTTCTTTTCCTTCCTATCAAGGTCTCAACACCTATAAATAGACGTTGAATGCTGGAATGATCATATACAAGAAATCACACAAATCCTTTCCCCTCTCTGCATTAGCTGCTCTCTGTCTGCACAACTCCATACTTCATATACATACATTCTAATATAAAATATAATATAATTATAATAATTCCATCTCTCTCTATAATTATACATATATACATAAATATATATACACCTATACACACTTAGCATTATATATATATTTATATAACTACACCCGTACATATATATATATATATTACACTTATTATTATATTATTATTATATAACAAATTCTTAGTTTTTTGAATTTTCTATTGAAGCTTTAGATTGGTAAAAAATGTCCCACAAGAAAAGTATGAACTTAACATTTAGAACATTCATTTTTCTGGTTTGAAATTGTATTGTAAGATTAGACTAATGGTATGTTAGTAAATTAGATAATAGTTTTTAGTTAGTTATCTTATTTATTAGTTGTTAACCTATTCAATCAGTTAGTTTCATTTTTTATTCAATCAATTATTTATATTATATTATTTGGTAAAACAACGGTCTAACAGTTTTTACGTAAAATGACAATCGAAGATATTTATATTTTATTTTTTAAAATATTCAATTGTGTTCTTTTAGATTTAAAAATTAAAAATATTTTGTTATTAGTTAATTGAAATTGTGAAAATATTATAAAATATTTATTTTGATTATTTTTAGATTTAAGAAAAATAATATTTTATCTGTCTCAATTCAAAGTATTCATTTTTTATTTTAGAAAAAATAATTCTACACTAATACTAAAATACTCTTAATTTTTACTTAAATAACTAAAATACCTTTAATTTTTACTTAAATTACAAATATATCATTACACATACAATTGTTTTGTACATAAAATCAAATGACAAAAATGTCAAAAACTCATACACACATCCACTAAATAAAAAAATACTATTACTTTTTAATCTAATATAAAACTCCAAAGGGCAATTTGATTTGGGATAGAGGGAGTACTATATTTTTATTAAAAATATATTAATATTTTTTTTTATTGAAAATAATGTTAAATATAAAATAATAAAATTTTAATATATATATTTATTAATTATTATTTTATTTATTTATGAAAATAGAAATTGAAAATCCTTTTTGAGTTGTTTGTTAAAACAAACAAAAGACCTTGGTGTTATGTATGGCTACAAATTTTCATGTTTTTTTTTTTTTTTTTTTTTTTTTGTCCTTGTTTTTTAGCGTCAATTGAATGATGAGTTTTAGGTGTTATTTAATTTCAGAAACACAAATTGCAATGTATATAATTTTTCTGCATCTGAATCTTGATTATGTAATTGGATATAATGTTTGACTTAGTGTTTTGCTGAACATTGTGAATGGACCTAAATAGTTTGTTTTACCGGGTCTTAGATATTTGCTGCCAATGTGTTTGTTTGGGGATTTGGATTTTGAGTTGGAATTTGAATAGTAAAAATTTTGAATTTGAATAGTTGTATAATGTGATATAAAAATATGTTAATGTGATATTTTGAATGTAAAATTAATTTTTAGTATAATATAAAAAATAAAAAATATATTTTTAATTTGATTTTTTTAAATAAAAAAATAAAATAAATAGTGAATTTAAAATCCAATCCCAAAACATTTGTGTATTCCTTTGGCTTATGTTTCCCAAACTTCCCTGTAGATTTATTGTAGACGGCCATTTGGGCGCGAAGCCACTCCCATAGGGACAACGTCTGACACCTAATTTGTAGGCTTCTTTTCACGGGGCGGAGGGTAACTGGCATTTGACTCTTGCTTTTTTTTTCCTTAGTTAATCTCGTTCTATTCTAATTCCACAATTTTCGCCTCTACACCAACACAAAACCTCCTTTCTCAAGCTTACCGATAGAGCAGGGTGTTTGAGTAAATAATAATAATAATAATAATAATAATAATATAGAGTTTATAAATTTGATTAATATATAGTTCAATGGCCTAATAATGGTACTAGGGTCTTAAAAATATATTTAAAAAAATAGATAATAATTCGGCGCAAGCAGGTCGGAGGTCGGCTGGAGCACCCGGTTCACTCCCTCTCTTCTCTTCTCTTCTCTTCTCTTCTCTTCTCACACTCTCTGCTATCGTCCAATCGGTTCTGCTCAACCTCAAATTTATCTATATAACAAAACCCTTAAGTAATTGGATTAGGCTTTGGTTATATAAATTTGGGCTTAGGCTAAAAAAGTGGTTGGTGAGTGGGCCAAACTAACCTATCAAAAAAAGCCCTCAAACTTGGGCCACGGCCCACTTTTAAAGAGAGAATTGTCACACAACACTCAAATTTCCCTCAAACGACCTGTCCTCTTGACTCTGAATAACCAACCAACCATTCTCTCCCACTCGATTTTTTATTTTTATTTTATTTTATTTTTTCATTTCTTCCCTTCCCTTGTTTTCATGCGAATTCGTACTAGTTCTGAATGTCCCTCCCTAACTAACTTTTACCCACAAAATCAATAACCCTAACCACACCAGGAATGCAAACCACTTCCCAATTCCAATTGCAGAACCGCTGTTGAACAACAAACCGCATATATGAAATCTTTTCTACCACACACAGATAGATTAATTGCAATTTCTCCCCAACTTCTTACCTGAACACAGATCAGATAGACCCTTCAATGCAAGCAATTCGTTCCTCGATAGTAGGGATTCTTTCCTGGAAGACGAAGTAACGTGATTTCACATATAAGGAAGAGAAAGAAAAAACAAAATGGAGAGAAGAAGAGAAGAGGGAAGTAAAAGAAGAAAGCAGAAAGAAGATACCTCGAAGTCGACGGGCACGAAGTGGTTGTCAGATTCCGCGCTCGAAAACACCGCTTTTGCGGATCACTTTTTTCTTCAAAAGGTCCGCCGAAGCCTTCTAAAATGAAGTCGAATTACATTTATTCATTTTTTAATATATATATATATATATATCAATTTCTTAATTTTTTTAACATTGTTCCAGAAAAGTCAATTTGGATTCCAATTTTATTCCAAGGGATGTTTGTGGCATGTTTGGTTTAAATAAAGGGATGGGAGGGAAAAAAAAAAAAAAAAAAAAAAAAAAAAAAAAAAAAAAAGCTAGAGGAAAGAAAGAAAATATTAAAATTGTAATATTATGTTTGCTCTATATAAAAAAAGGGACGAAGAGTGAAGAAGAAAAATAATATTTTTATATTTGATTAGACAAGGGAAAAATCCTTATACTATATAAACAAATAAAAACAAAATATTAAATAAAATTTGATTAATTTATTCATAAAGCATAACACAATTTATTTTTTCTAATATAATAAAAAAAAAACTACATTATAAAGTATTGAAAGAAATAAAAATTCTCTCCTTCAAATTTTCCAAACCGACATTTGATATCAATCTTTGCTCAAAATTCTTGTTGTCAATTATCTATAAAAAGAAATTACGAAAAACTTCTATTAATGTGGGTATATTTTTATATCAGTCTCTCTCCCCCAAATTATGTGTGTGCATATATTTTTTTTTTCATCTTTGTATGGAATCTCTTCTCTTCTCTCTGTATAGAAAATGATAGAGAAAAGTTAGTTGAGAGCTGATCCGTTTTAAAAAAACCCCCTCTGGAGCTAACTTGTACGTGTTTCTCACGCGTCCAAGGCAGAATCGATCTTTACATTCCGAATAACACTCATATTTAACAAATAAATACACACAAACCAAATCAAACCAAGCCAAACATGCCCTTATTTCTAACCGACATAATCAAATCAAATCAAATCATATATTTGTATTGATCTCTCAACTAATGCTGATTTTTAAACTCAATCCCTTTATTAAATTAAATCAAATAATAAAAATACTAAACCATACGATATTTAGACAAAGAATTATTAATAATTAATATAAATAAAGAATTATATATTTCTAATTAATTTTTTATATATATTATCAAATTTTTATAAAAATAACAATAATAGTAATATAAATGAAGAATTATTAATGAACAATTATATTGAAAATGAACAATGCTATATTATTTTTTAATTATATTTTAAATTTTACAATTTTTTATTATATAATCATATTTAATTTAAATTATCTTATTATTTAATACATCAATATTTTTATAATTTATTTTTAAATTTAAAATATTATTTAATTATTTACTAAATTTATTAATCCTATTTAATTTAAATTATCTTATTATTTAATACATCAATATTTCTATAATTTATTTTTAAATTTAAAATGTTATTTAATTATTTACTAAATTATTATTTTAATTATTTTTATATTGTAGCAATCTATTTAATTACTTACATAGTTATATATATATGACTATTAGATAATAAGTCAACAATAAATATATATGATTATTAGATAATAAGTCAACAATAAATATATATGACTATTGTGACAAGCTATTGGTCCTGAGCCAACCTACATATGCAAACCCCATCTTTTATAAAAGAAAAATTTTCAACTATATACTAATAATATATGACATGTCTATACTAATATTTTGATTTCAATCACTATATGCCATATATATATATATATTCTTTTCCAACCTGCACATAAAACAGAAAATGCTTATATAAATACAATACTCAACAAGATAACAATTGGATGTTAATCAGAAGTCAAGATAACAAGCAATTAAAGGTTAGAATACAACCTAATTCAAGTACAACAAGCACATAAAAAATATATATATATATATAAACAATACAAAAAGTTTGGATAAAGCAGCAAAACGCACTGAAAACAGCAACAAGGTCTCTTTCAGGTTTTGATTGTAATTGTAATTGAAATTGAAATAATTATAAACACTTCAAAGATTTGTTTAGGCAAAGAAGCAACAAGATATATTCCACATTGCACACGAAATTGAAGTATAATCACTTAGCAAGACAAAAACTTTAATTGAAACTGAAATGAAAAAACAGCCAGCACTCAAAAATAAATACATCCATGACGAAGGTAAGCTGAATAGCAAATCAAAAGGCTTGAAGCTTCAGTAAAATAATAGTTCCTACTCTAAGTAAGCAGCTGTTGGCAATCAAGTAACCAGTTCGGTTATAGCTTCCAAAACCAAATGAATAGACACAACAGAAAACACTTGGAAATTGCCGATGAATTTAATGTTAAAATAACATAAAAAAACATACTAAGAAACGTTAACTAATATTATATATCCATATAATGAAAAAATAGATAACATGAGGTACATAGCAGCACTAACGTTGAAACTGATAACAAAAAGGATTGAACTTACAAAAGCTATCCGACGAAGAAGACAACGAGAGAGAGAAAGGAGAGAAGCCGATGGAGCGGCGAGAAAGAGAGAGCTTGTGAAAACAAAACGAACAATTAGGATTAGGAGTGAATGAAATTGGATTTGGGGCTAGATTTAAAAGTTAAGCTGGGCTAACCCATCAACTCATGACCCGACCCACGGAGTTGAAATTATTTTCTTAAAATCCCTCTTACCACTTGTGAGGGTGAGCAAGCAGACTTCAACTTAATAAGTGAAATTTCGATATGTTTATACAGGGATTTTTTTAATTTTTAAAATTTTATTTATTTAAATTATGATTTAGTATAATAATTATATATATAAAGCTTATTTTTATAAAGATATGAGGAAGAATAGAAAAGTTTAAAAATATAGTCAAAGGAACAAAACGACATGTATTTTTCTACTAAATTTTATTTTATTTTCAATATTTCATTTATTTATTTTTTTCGCAAAATATTACATTTAATAAATAAGCCATATCACTGCAATTATCTCCATTCCATAGTATTCATTGACGATATACTACAATTTTCAGTATGACTCACCGACAATTTTGAATTGCTTTTCCAAGAGTGAAGTGAAGTGAACGAAGCCATTAAACAACAATTGAGTGATGCTAGAAAATGACGATCAAAAGCATTTAGAAATCAAGCAGACGAGATGAATGAAATAATCTTTTTTTTCCTAAATAATAGTGTACTTGTATAATCCAAAGTTGATTAAACAACAAACTCCTCTTCCAATGTGTCCCAAAATTGCCTATAATTAGACACTACAAATCAAAATGGTTGTAATTAATAATAATATTCAGTTGTATGCCTCCCCCCTCAAAATACACTCTAGAAACCAACGACCAAAGCACATCACTCGAAATAAGCCTGCTTCGCATGAACTGGTTAAATATAAATAGGTCGATAGATAGGTGGTGTGGTGTGGTGTCATGGAAACAAACCAGGCAGCCACCTGGGCTAGCTGTTGAATCTGATGCTGCGGCTTATTCTTGTGTTGATGCCCGTTGTTTCTCCCCCGTAAGGACCTGCGGGCTTCCGTACCTCGCGATCCTGTCCTTTCCTGCGCACTTCTGCTTTCTTGTGCTTCAACTGAGTGTGTGAGAGAGAGAGAGTTCAGTTCATGTTATATAGGAATTTGGCAGCAATGAGGTTCTGAACCATATCCTAGATACATGCATACATACATACGTACATACATGCACACAAATGCATCTATACAGGGGCAGGGAGATGGTACCTTGTATTTCTTCCTAGGATTCTTGGTCAGCTTCTTGCGGGCGCGAGTTAAGCCCCTATTCTTCTCAATCTGGACAAATTTACAACCGAAGACAAGGATAAGTAGATCGCACAGGTAATATATACATACATATATATATATATATCCTCTTCCAAACATGACCATACCTGATGTGTGATCAGCCGCTTCCCATCAACTGTTTCTGGCAATGATGGAACTTCCGGAGTTCTGTTCAAATTAACAAACATATGGGTGAGCGCATGATTTATACTTCAAATAGAAAGGACTACTAAGGGCAAGTAAAGAATAGTTGATGCAAAAAATAATTATAAGTGAACAACTTTCATACACACTACACAACATGAATGTGCGGTCAGTGTTTAGCAAGCCAAGTGTTTAACATTCCATTTGTATATACCTTGAATACTTGTTAGATTTTGCAGTGAGCTTTGCGGCATGCTGTTGCTCCACTTGTTTGTAGAATTCCAGATCAGAATCATCATCATCCTCATTTCCATCATTGACGTCACCAGCCCCATCGCTGGAGAGGTCAGCACTCTCATCATTTCCCTCATCCCCAGCAGATCCAATCCCAGCTCTTGCCAAAACTCGCAGCTCATGCTTTCTCCGCCTTTCTCAAATATCATCTCGTTTCGGTATATCATCATCACCCGATATAACCTTCACATATTATGTAAGACAGCAAATATTATATAAGACAGCTGGTAAGATTCACTTCCTAGAACTAGATGACCCAAAAACTTTAGGCGTGCAAACAATTACTTAAACATAAGGGAATCAGAGATACTGGGAAGGTGCATCATTACATGTAAATTGCTGTTAGTTTCATAAGTTCAACATCATCCATATTCTGTTGTTCGGCTTTTATTTGCTAAAATGACCACAATCATCCAATATTTTTAATACACCGACAGGCGTAGCATATATCAAGTTGAGATGAAAAGCATATCACAAACAGAAAATAAATTGAATATGGCCTTACCATATATGATTATTGAGTTGCTTTGAAGATCAAATTAAACAAAACCATATCTTACAAAGTAAAGTTCTTTTGAAGCACAATACCTTGCGTTTCTTTGTTTGAAGAGCCCGTTGCTGGGAAATTTTGCTTGAATGTGACGATTTTGTATCTATTTCCATGGGCTCATCAACAAAATCATCGAATGTCTCATGTTGTCTGGGAATGCAATTTAGATTTAAGAGAAGCATTTGATGATGACATGTACACAAAATATCTGAGAATATGACAATTGTATAGGTAATAGACACCTGTTTGCAATTTGTTGGTCTCTAGATTTAGCAGTCTTTCTTACAAATGAACTAAAAACACCCTTCAGCTGCAGTTTCTCCTCTAGGGATTCTCTTATTTTTAACATTTCCTTGCTCTGTGATCCTATTTGTTTATCCTGCCATAAAATAATGTAACCAATCAAAGTAAGTCTTTAAACATGACACTGCTAGAGGAAAGGAAACAACAGGAACAGGGGCACACATAGGGGGGAAAAGGTGGGAATTCAAACGT